TTTTTTACGCATGCGAGATAATTGATACATAAATTGCATATATATATTAAAAAAAAAAAAGACAAAGAAAAAAAGAGAAAATTAAAGAGAAAAAAAAACCGCGTTTCCGATCGTGGATAACGCAGATTCGCAATCTAGACTATCCCTCATGTGGAAAAGAGGTACGCGCGTGTATCCCTCGCATCTATCATCGCATTTGGCTAGGATAATGTGCAACCTGGGCGATAGGCTACACCGTTCAATCAAAGATGAAGAAAAATTTTCGGAAACTCAATATCGTCGTGATAACAGCCGTGAGAGAAATTTACATTCGCGTCTCTCTTCTTTTTTTTTTTTTTTTTTTTTCGATTTTTTTCTTTCCACTCGGAGGATCGCGAGAAGGAGATACTTCTCGCCGCGTGTTCGCACGCAACACGTGCACACACGCAACAGGTGCACGCCACTTACACACTAACGATTGATAAAGTTTAATCGGCATAATTAATACCTTCTCTACGAACATCTTAACTTTTTTTTATCGTAACTGTAACAATCCATTCAAGAATTTGGTATATTCTCTTATGTACAAGATTCTAACGGAGAAGATGCAGGATCTGGTTGCAATCCATTTTGATTCGATATACATATATATATATATATATATATATGATGTCTAAGGTAACTCAAAAATTACAGGGGAAAAAAAACCGATAGCGATGATAAGATGATACGATAAAAAGAGAAGGGGCAAAAAAAAGAAGAATACGAATAAAAAACGAATTATACGAATATGAATACGAATATGAATACGAATATGAATACGAATAATAAAAAAAAACGAATTATAAGAATACGAATAATACGAATAAAGAACGTGCCTAATTAGAGGCAGGTGATTGAAAAACACAAACGCGAATTTAATTATACTATACGTAGAATCAATACGTTGATTCGTTAATAATTGAATAATAATAAAGGAGGTCCCGAGGTTGGACCGAACAGTGGGTGGGGGCGAGTAAAATAATTTCCCCCGCTCGTACTTTCCTCTCGACTCAGATGCACACATTATGCGCGCGCGCGCGAATCGTAAACACAAGAAATACGAGGTATACGAGTATCGGGGATGAATATCGGTAAGAAACGAAACGATGAGAAAATAAGTGCGTGTAAAAATAATGAACGCGTGTCTCTGTCGGGACGCGAGGAATTTTCGATAATGAGGAGATCTCGACGACAACGGTGACGACGGCGACGCGGAGTATTTCGCGTACAATACTCGAAGAAGAAACAACAACGAGAAGCACACACAGTCAACGACGACTTCTCTCGCGCGCATTCTTCTTTTTTTTTTTTCTTTCCTCTGTCTCCGTTTTTCTTTGCCCGATCGTCACATTCTCTCTCCTTCTCTTTCTCTTTCTCTCTCTCTCTCTGGCACTCTATCTTTTTCGCTGTCCAATTTCATCTATCCTTTTCCACCTTTCGCGAACTGCTGTTCGTTTGGTGGTGAGCGAAGCACTCGCTAAAACACACACACACACACACACACAGGCAATCACACTCTTTCCTAAAGATATATACTTAGCATCACAGCTTGTGCCTATTTTCTACTTTGTTTCGAGTTGGGCGACGACTGCTTCCGACGTGCCTTCAGATTGTCCAGCAGATATTTGAATTGTATAATCTGGAGCCTAGTGACGGCCGGCTCGGAGCATTTGTCCAACCACTTCAAGAACTTCTCACCGTGCTCGATCGCTTCCTCGGTGCTGCACGGCACTTCCTCCTCAGCGTCGCCGCTGTTCGACTCGTGGTTCTCCGTGGACTCGTTGTCCATGTTCAGGCACCGTTTCACATTCTCGTTGTTGTTGCAGAGTACGTTGTCGAGCATGGCTCGTGCCCTGCTCGGCGATTTCTTGGGGACCGGGCTGGGCGTTACCGGCGTCTGCGTGACCGGTGACTGCGTTACCGGTGACTGCGTTACTGGTGCTTGCGTTACCGGTGCTTGCGTTACCGGTGCCTGCGTTACCGGTGCCTGCGTTACCGGTGTTTGCGTTACCGGTGTTTGCGTTACCGGTGTCTGCGTTACCGGCGTCTGCGTTACCAGCGGGAAGCCGCACTGCTTGTACCACTGCCAGAACCACGAGCCGTCCTGTTGATTGATGCTCGGGTTGAAGCTCGCTGACTGCTGGCCGAGCAATTGTTGCTGCTGCGTCAGCCATATCCATAACGCCTCGTCCATCTTTTTATTATTGTTGCCCGCCGTCACGTTCTTGCCCGACTTGTTCGCCGTCGATCTCTGCATGCTACTGCTGCTCTCGTTGGTTTTCCTCGGCGAGGCGGGCACCGGGGTGGACGGTGCCTCGGCGGCAGGTGGCAGGCTTTTCCGCGTGCTGCACGACTTGGCGACCATCGAGTCGATCTGGGACGGCGCGATCGCCGAGATGGTGTGCCTCTTATTGCCACTTGCCAAACTATTCGCCGCGTTCGCGACACACGCGGCCACGCTGTTACCGACCATGTTGCTCTTCGTGTACTGGAGCCCGTTCTCCACGAGGCCGACGGTGCTCGCGTGCGACAACGGCGTTGATATGCTCAACAGATTCTTCGCCAGGCTGCCGCTGGCACTCGATAGTAGACCGAGCTGCTGCAGAAGCAACGAGCTGTTCTCCGGTCTCATTCCCGCCATGCTCGTCATCAGTCCAACGTAGTCGATCTTCGGCTTGTCCGGCTTGCCGGCGTCCGGGTCGTCGTTGACGAACGACGTGCTCGCCGATGTCACCGACGTCTGCTGATCTAATTTCGGCTTCTTCGCGCACGGGCTCTCGTCCTCGCTCGACAAGTTCGCCGAGCTACCGGCCAAGTTGCCGGTCGCGACGTTCGCCCCGGAGGACGAGGCTGGCGAGTGGGCCTCGCTGTCCGGCGTCGACGAGTTCCTCGCCATCCCTCTGATCTTGTGCTCGGACTTGCACCAGCCGCGCAACGTCGACTCCGGCACGCCGATGTCACGGGCCACCGACGCCTTGCTCTCACCCTCGTGGACCCTCTGTATCGCGTCCATCTTCTCCGAAGCGGACAACGCTCGCAGTGGCCGCTTGCCCGGCCGCGCTGATTCACCCCTCATTCTGACTAGGCGACAGTTGTCCGCCTCTTCCCGGAAATGATTCTCGTACAAGCCGTCCTCCGTCGTCGTGACGATCTCGCCGATCGTCTGAGCTTCTACCTTGGCTTCGCCTTCAACGACGCGATCTTCGACGGTCTATGACGCTCCTCCTGCGAAACATTACGAGAAGATTAATGTAAACGATTGTTTTCGCTGCACTTTTACGGCACACGTCACACGATTCGTCGCGCGGTTGCTTCCAAAACGTGAACCCAACTTGGAACGAGGAATCGCTCGACGATGAATTTTGTCAATAGAAACAGAAAGGGAGAGAGAGAGAGGGGAGAAGATTTTTCACGAGAAAGATTTTTCCGACGATCGAAACGGGTGTGTTTGGCGTTTGTCCTTGACAAGCCATGGTTCTTTCGTCGAATTGTTGCGTTCGGGGGAGGGGGGACACGGTGCCTGTTTTTTTTTTTTTTTTTTCCCCTCGTTGGCAGTGTCTCTATCTCTATTCTCGCTGGCTCGACAGCTCTGAACGCGCACGCACAAGCAACACGTAACCTATATACGTAGTTAGTTCGCGCTGAGAGGAAGACAGACGACAGAGAAGGAAAAACAAAGAAAGGGAGATGAAACAGGAGCGAACGGGACCGCGCGAATAACGAACAAGGGGGGGAACGGGGGAGGAGAAAACAACGAAGCGCGCGCTTGTAAACGCGACGGTCGAAAACTGATCCGACTGCTGTGCTCTCTGGGACGATTCTGCCCGACTCGACCTTTCCTCGGGAGAAACACGACACATCGCGTGTGTCTCTATCCGCGTCTCTGTCCCGCACCCGGAGGGGGCCACAGTCTTTCTCGCCTTGTCTCGTCTCGTCTCGTCTCGTCTCGTCTCGTTTCTATTCCTCGGTTATTCCTCGTGGCTGGGGCAATAATATCGTTTCCCGCGCGGACTGCCGATTGGCTGACGCGGCGGCCGCGAACCGAAGAACCGAAAGCAAAATACACACAACGCACACGTACGTACGTGCATACGTACCGAAGCGCACCAACGTGTGCGGAGAGACGAGGAGGACGCGGCGTTTCAAATCGGAGAAACGAAGAAACGGAGGAGCAAAAGAGAGAGGAGGTTGGTCGACGACGATAGAGAGTATACGCGACCGAGTAGCGAAGGAGAGAGAAAGAGAGAGAAGAGAGTAGAGCGCTGCCACAAGCAAGGAGAAGGGAGGGCGGCAGACGAGGAGGGGAACCGCCCGACCGAGTTGTTTCATTCATAAAAAAGTTCTTTATTACTCTCTGTGAGCGCATGTGCTATTCCACGGAGGAGGACCTCCCCCGACCGGCGTAACCACGTTTACACACGGTATTATTTACTACTGCGCGAGATACGAATCGCTGCCACACGCCGTGGCAACGGTACGGCGTACGGATCTCTCCTCTCCGATATCGTTCTTTCTCTCTCTCGTATTTTTCTCCCGATTTCTTTCCACCGAAGAACGTGTCCGCGTACTGATCGATTCGCGGTCGATATCGTCGTCGAATGTCGAAAGTATTGTCTCTGTTATTGTTGTCGCGGTTCAAGGTCGTTACAGTTCCACGGAAGCACCTCCTCGCCGTCGGCGAGGCACCTCATCGGCGTTCGTCGAATCGGGACAAAAGGACGCGAAGCACAAACTGCCGCACACCGCAAACACAGCGGAGAGTTCTCTCGCCCGACTCTCTCTTTATCTTTTTCTTTCTTTCTTTCTTTTTTTTTTTTCCTTTCTTTCCTCGTCGAAGCACGTACGTCGCGTCTTTCCCGTGTGTGTTCTGTGCCCACTGTCTCGCGGACGAGCAATTGGAATTCCTCGCGTGTCCACACGCAGGCCCGATATAGTCGGATGGCGCGATCTGGAACGTGAACGTCGATCGATCGCCTTCTCGCGCGTCACAAGACCGCTCGAGGCTTGCTTGGTGACGCGGTGAAGCTCGTGACAACGTTTCGGGGGAGAACGAGCCAAACGAGACCAGAAGAGAACGAAACGGAACGAGGGAGAGAGAAAGAAAAAAAAGCACGAGAAAAACGGTTAAACGCGGAAAGGAAACGCGAGAGAGAATCATCTCTCTCGATCGTCTCTTTGTCCCCTCATGTACAGCGTTTCTTTCGCCGCGAGTAGAGAACCGAGAAATTTTCGGGCGTGTAAACAAAAATATATTCGTAGAAGAAAGAAAGAAAGAAAGGAAGAAGTTATACACGTAACTGCGGAAAAAAGTAACATTCGCGGTGGGGAAGGGAAGAGAAAAAAAGAAAAAAAAGAAAAAAGAAAAACCTTCAAGCTGGATACGAATTTGGAAGCACTCCGTACGTGTGAAATCGTGCGCGACAGCGTGGTCGTTCGTACGTTCGGCACTGACGAATATTCTCACTACTCACTTTTTCCAATTCACTTCCTTTTCACTTTCTGAGCTGGGTGGCACAAGATCGTCGCGGCCGATGGTCCGTGAGAAAAAACAACAAAAAAAAAAAAAAAAAAACAACAATTCGAAACAATTTCCTCGAGCAGCAGCAACAGCAGACGCGTTACGTTACACTCGGATCGGCACAATGAAGGCGCGCCTCGTGCTCGATTTGAAATTATCCCACCGACACGGGAACGGAGCGGTGTGTATCTCGCTCGATAACAGAGCGCGGTCGAACGAAAAGAAGAAAAAAAAAACCCGATAGCACACCGGCGAGGTCCTCACCTGACTGTGGATCGACCTCGACTGAATCACCGGTGTGTGTGCACCGGTGTCTATCGTCACTGGTTGACGACTGTCTCGTACTTTTAAGGGAGAGAGCGCGTCACTACCGAACTTGCGTACACGGAGGTGGTTGATGATCGTCGTCACCGATCAGCCGAACGAACCGACCATCCGACTCTGCAGTTCGCAGTAAACTGTTTCGGTGTGTAAGTGCACACTGTATACCACGGCTGTACACCAGAGCGCGCGACGAAAGTGGGAGTGCGTAGTAACCGACAACGCACGATGCTTTCGCGACGGATCGCGACGCTCAACTGCTTTCTGCGGACTTGGGACGTCGTCTTCTCTATCCCCTGCCCCCCACCCTTCTATCCCCTTCCCCTTCAACCCTGTCGTCCCACTACCGCCCCACTCGTCCCTCACCCCGTCGTTCGGCCCTTACTCCCACTCTGTCCTCTCTTTGACTCCCTCCTCGCTCCGCTGCAGCTCAGCTTGCGCCTTGCCATGCCATGCCATGCCATGCCATGCCATGCCATGCCGTGCCGTGCCTTGTCTTCCCTTGCCATGCCATTGCCATGCTTTGCCATGCCGCCGCGGTCTCGCGTCTTGCTTCATCCACACCATACCTCTCGTCTTACCGACGAGACGCTCTTGCTCTTGCTCTTGCTCTTCTCTACGCTACCTATCGTTCCTTCCCAGCCCCTGCGCCCCTCTCAGTCCCTCTTGCCGACCCTCGTCCCTCGACCCTCGGCTCTCGTTCCATTGCCGCCCTTCCGCCTGCCCCTTTGCGTTCGCGTCCCTCTCGCCTCCTTTCGTCCCCCTCGGTGTGTTCCTTCCATCGGGCGACGGTGTGCTGTCGAACCGCGCTTCTCTCGTTCTTCACCCCTCCGCGTCCTTATCCACTAAAACCCCTCTTCGAGTCCGCGACCCTTGCCGGTTCTCTCTCAACCGTCGTCGTCGTCGTCGTCGTCGACGTAGACGTCGTCGTGAGACTCCCTCCTTACGGACACGGCAATCACGATGCACGACGACGACGATTTTTATTTTACACGGTACATGTACGAGAGGTGGTTCTATTTTTCTTTGAACCGGTGGCACGTCGCCTACGTATATAGAATCTCTCGCGCGTGTACACGCGCGAGCGCGATTGCCGTCTTGGAGACTCGGCGTGTCCGAGTTTCCGGTCGGCCGACTGTTCGCGGCGGTAGCGAGGGAACGAGGCGCTTTGGCGCGGTGTGGCGCGACGAGGTGCGGCGGGACGCGGCGGGACGAGACGGGATGGGTCCGGGGCGGGGCGGGGTGAGGCGAGGCGAACGGTTGGCCGCTTGCTCGCTTGGCCGTCGTGAAATTTACGAGCGACGCGATTTTTTTCGCCCGTGTCCCGAATGCCCGTTTAATTTCCCGCGATTCTAGGATCTCGCTGGTCTTGCTTTAAAATATATAGCGGAAAAGAGAGGAACGCGAGGCAGAGGAGTTTAATAGAACGACGAAGAGAGAGAGTGAGAAAGTTACCCAAACCCGTAGCGAAAACCCTTAAATCCGACCTTCTCTACCCCTCTTTCGTGCAGCTCGTGACCCCTAGGGAGAAGAACCGGATTTATGAGCACGGCCTAAAATCCGTACGCGAACGCGGCGGCAGCGGCAGCAACGGCGGCAGTGTCGGGAGAGAGTCAGAGAGAGATGAGAGAGAGAGAGAGAGAGAGAGAGAGAGTTGCGCGAGCACAGTATAAGAAGGAACGCCGCGCCGTGGTAATTCGCGGATAAATTTACCGTGCCTCTGGCGACGTATTTACCGTGGTAAATACGCCGCGCTCGGACACACCGGCGCGGCACCGGGGCACCTACGTCGATTTCTTTTTCGCGGCCGAACGAGTATCGCGCGCGCCCCTACCCTGCCGCGATAATTATCGTGCGCTTGTGCGCGCGCGTGAGACCGTGCACGCTCACGTTCGCGCTCCAACGCCACGCCACGCCAGCTTTGGCCTTCTTCGAGTCCCACTTTGCCTCGAATTGACACGGCCGCGACGCGACTCGACTCGACTCGACTCGACTCGGACTCGACTCCACGCAGAACACACAAAGATGATTCCGCGACCTGTAAAGCGTTGCGTTACCTGTAAACGTTGCTTCTCCGGATAATAAAACAAAAGGGGGGGAGGGAATGTGCCACGAATACCGCGGATTTTCCTCTTGTTCCAGAAATAATCGTGCCCCGAAATATATATCGCGCTCGCACGCGCGCGCGCGCAGTCTCCTCGTGCACGTTTGTACACGCACCGTCTGTGTGTGTAGCAACGGCGAGCGGACGTTAAAGGGGAACGCGCGCCGCGCCGGTTAGAGGAAAAAAAAAAAAAAAAAAACGCGCGTTCGCGTTTTATGTAACGCGCGGCGAACCGTTCGAAACGACTGACGGTTTGCGGCGGGGGGAGGAGGGTAGACGAGGATCGATCAAAGTCGAACGTCGATGACGATGACGGGGGAGGGCGACGGGGGTGTTGGGGGGGGGCGGCAGGATGAAGGGGGAGGACGCTCGGCCCTCGGTGGAATAAAGAGAAGACGCTAATCCAGCGACAGAGGGAGAAACGAAAAAAAACCGAACTTGGCAACGAATTTATATGCTTCACGTTTCACCTGTACTTTGTGTCTCACGCATACGCGTGCCGTGTACATATGCTTTGCGATCGGATTTCTAGAACTATATAAGAACAATAATCGCGCGTGTGTAACGAAACTACGCACACGATGTTTATCGATGAAATTGGTAGCACGGGAAAAAGGCGAGCGAGGAAACGGTCTCTCGCTCTCGCTCTCTCCCCCTTTTTTTCTCTCTCTCTCCCCCTTTGTACCGTTATCGAGGAAACGCGGCGTTACGAAAATATTTCGAGCGCGCGGAGAGAGAGATCGAAAAGATAGCAGCGGCGCGCGGACGTCACCGGATACACCTTATCGATCTCGATATCGGTGGCTCGCCGCGACAGAGAGAGAGAGAGAGAGAGAGAGAGAGAGAGAAAGATAGAGAAAGATAGAGAAAGATAGAGAGAGAGAGAGAGAGAGAGACGACGCGGTCGGACGTACGGCGGCCGATTAACGAACGGAGAGTCGCGCAAAGGGGAAAGGACGAAGGCGTGAAAGAGAAAGGAGTGAGGAGCGGCGAGAGGCAGCGGTATAGTCGGCGCGGGAGGAGGGGGCCGCGGGCGCGGTGGTGGAGGAGGAGGAGGAGGAGGTGGACGAGAAGGAGGATGAGGAGGAGGAGGAGGACGGATGGACGAACAGACGGACGGACGGACGGACGAACGGATGGTCGGACGGTTCAAGGGAGGAGAAGGGGGGCAAAATCGATCGACACGTCCTCTCGGGTACGCGGCGAGGCGCACTTTGCGCGGCGCGCACAGACAACACCGTCACCGAGGCAAACCCGTGTGCTCCTTCGCTACTCGAGCCGGTAACCCGTGCAATTAATTTTCACCTGCTTCTCCCGCGGCTCGGCCTTTCGCGGAAGGATGTTAGCGCTGTATAGAGTGAGAGAGTGAGAGAAAGAGAGAGAGAGAGGGAATGAAAGATTTAACAGAGTGTCTCTCGGTGTGCGTGCGAGCGCACGCACGCACGCACGCACGCACGCACGCACGCTACGTGACATGCTCGCTGTTCGCCGATCCCCGGACGTAACGGTCGCGATCGTTCCGCGAAAAAGACACGCGCGCACCGAACGAGAGCGGAGAAAATGGCCTGGATTATTTTTCTCGCGACCGGCAGAGGCAATGAGGATCTTGCCCTTGGCTGGAAAATTCAGTTTTCCTCTCCCTTTTTTCTTTCTTTCTTTTCGTTTACTGATCTTTCTTCCCTCGATACGTACACATGCCCGTGACGAGGCGACGTTATTTCCTTCGATCGTCAAATCTACGATCGACGCATGGCGCATCGACAATCCGCGTTTTTTTTTCCCGCCCCCCCCCCCCCCCCTTCAGGAAGAAGCAACCGGTTATCGGGGTTAACAGGAACGAGAGCTCGAGTTTCACTCTGGCGGCTCTCTCGCATCCAGCAACAGCGATAACGCTTAAACAGCCGGCTGAAACGACCGCGACTTTGACATTCCGCCGCGCGCTTCTTCTTCGATTTATTCCTCCGCGTTGGAAAGTTACGCGGCAAAGTCCCCGGCGAACTTTACAAGCTCCAGAAACCCGGAACCCTGTACGAGAAGTTCAAAGTCTCGTATAACTTTGCCGTATCCATATGTATTCTCTCTTCCCCTCCCTCCCTCCCCCCCCCCGCCCCCCCCCCCCCCCCCCCCCCCCCCCCCCGCCCCCCACCTTGCCCCACCCCGCGCGCTCCTCTTTACCGCGCAAACCAGTGAAAGTGTTTTCACTCTGTTAAAATGGAATAACCTTCCGTTCAACCCTCGTTCGCCCTCCTTATCGATTTTACACGTCGCGATGAATGTACGAAACTGGGTACATTCTACGCACTGTCCTTCTTGTTTGCCCTTCTTTTTCGTGTCGAGAAGGTGTAGAAATGTACAACTCGCACGTTCGACTTGCAGTTAGCCGAAACGTCGGGTAGACCGATCTATTTGGAGAAGTATTGTACCAATACCAATTTATTTAGAAAAGCGTTACTTTTAGTAGGGATAAATTCATACTTAATACTTAATACTTAGACAAGTATTGTACCGCTAGGAGATGAATTTGTTTGTCACGTGACAGCGATGACACGTAACTCGTAATAATTCTCTAGTTTTTTCTCTTTTTGCTCGAGAGGGTGTATAGATTAATTAGTCGAAACACGCCAATTTATTTAAAAAGGTGTTACTTTTCGTAAGGATAAATTCATACTTAATATTTAGAAAAGTATTGTACCGCTAGGAGATGAATTTGTTTGTCACGTGACAGCGATGACACGTAACTCGTAATAATTCTGTAGTTTTTTCTTTTTTTGCTCGAGAGGGTGTATAGATTAATTAGTCGAAACGTCGAACATGTCAGTTTATTTAAAAAGGTGTTACTTTTAGTAAGGATAAATTCATACTTAATATTTAGAAAAGTATTGTACCGCTAGGAGATGAGTTTGTTTGTCACGTGACAGCGATGACACGTAACTCGTAATAATTCTGTAGTTTTTTCTTTTTTTTGCTCGAGAGGGTGTATAGATTAATTAGTCGAAACGTCGAACATGTCAATTTATTTAAAAAGGTGTTACTTTTAGTAAGGATAAATTCATACTTAATATTTAGAAAAGTATTGTACCGCTAGGAGATGAATTTTTTGTCACGTGACAGCGATGACACGTAACTCATAATAATTCTGT